GGCGGGGGGGGGGACAGGGGACATGGGGGTGACACTTGCCTCTCCCCCCAGCTGAAGTGCCAGGGAGAGCCGTTCAGCAGTGAGACCGACAAGCTCTGCAACCCCGGCGGCGTCTTCTTCCCCGCTTTCCGTGTCAACCGGACGAGCGAGAGGAAGGAGGTCATGGTGGCCATGTACAAGCTCTTCGCCTTCCTCAACGCCTCGCTGGGGAACATCACGCGCGACCAGGAGGAGCTCAACCCCACGGCCAAGGAGCTCCTCGAAAGGCTCCACAACACCACCAAGACCACCCGGGGCCTCATCTCCAACCTCACCTGCCTCCTCTGCAAGAACTACAATGTCTTCCAGGTGGATGTCAGCTACGGGGAGAGCTCCAAGGGCAAAAGCGCCTTCAAGAAGAAGCAGCAGGGCTGCCAGGTGCTCAGGAAGTACGTGCAGGTCATTGCCCAGGCGGCCCGCATCCTCCTACCTCACCTCAGCCCCCCGTGAGCGCCCGCCCCGGCTCCTCTGCCTCTCCCCCGCCAGCCGTCCCCTCACCGCTGCCTCCTGAACTCCTGCCTTCCTATTTATTACCCCGATCCTGTGCTGGTCCCATCCGCCCTCTGGTAATTTATTTGCCCCTTGGGGGGGTGAACGTTGCAGCCCGGTGTGTCCCAGGTGGAGCAGAGCTGGGGCCGGCATCCAGCGGGATGAGGCAGCACATCCCCGAGGTGATGCTGGGGCGCGGGCTGGTCCCGGGATGCGCCTCAGCCGTCCCCGTGCTCCCACGGGCTGCGGGGAGCTGCGGGTGCTGCGAGGAGCTGGCGACGGGGCTGGACTGTCCCCCATGGCCAGTCTCCTCCATCATGGAGAGCAACCTGACGGACATCCTCGAGCATCGTCCGAAAGCCTCCACTTCCCTGGGAAAAAGGATTGGGACGAAGGACGCCGGGATGCTGCGGCTGGTGGGGACATGGGGACGCAGGGACACGCTCCCCCTGCACATTTTGGAGCTGGGGCTCCCCCACAAGGAGCCGAACTGAGGGTACTGGGGGGGCTGCAGCGGCTGGGGCTGGGTCCTGCCATCTCGGACGAGGCCACCCGCTGGGGACAGAGCCGGCAGCTGCCCCACCGGGGACCATCGTCCCCCCCCCGCGCGGGCACGGCGGGGCGCAGGGGTCCCATCCCTCCCCTTCAGAAAAGTGCTTTTCCCATCGGAAGGGCTCTGAATGTACTAGCGGCCAAGGGCTGGGCTTCGCACGGCCGAACGCAGCCCCGGTGTGGGGATGCAGAGATGCGGGGACGGGCCCCAGGCCGGTGGCAGGAGGAGCTGGCTCGCTCCTGGCACCAGAGCGGGCTGTAAGGGTTATTTATTGCCTCGGTGGAAAGCCCAGCGTGCACTGAGTGCTCTGACCTGACTTTTAATAACGTTATTAATAATAATAATTAATAATAATTAATAATAATTAAAAAGTGCAAGTCTGACACCCAGTGAAACAAAAAAAATGAGGAAACCCCCTCTACTAGCTGGGCGTTAATCCCCCCAAGCCCCACGGCTTCACTCAGGGTTAACCGCACCGGGGCTGGGACAAAGCGGGGGCCGGGGCAGAGCTGGTTTCCTCCGCCACGCATGGCGCGGGCAGCTGCCAGCCGGGTGTTTCACCATGACGGGGAAGGGCAGTGCAGGGTGTGATCCTGCTGCGTGGGACACGAGCAACAGCGTTTCGGGGCTCTTCCGAGAGCTGGCTGCACCCCGTGGGCTGAAGAAGCCTTTCCCTTCTCCTGCCCTGGAGGAAGCCAGATCTTTGCATGAACGGGGAAACCGAGGCACGGGGAGGGTGCCTGACGGCACACAAGCACAGGACAAAGCCCCCGGGCCCCAGCGCCCCGTCCCTGCCTCTCCCCGGGCCAGCCGGGGCTGGGGGTACCGGGGGGGGGGTGTGGGTGTCGTTACCTCCCACATGAGGTTGTTGTTCTTGCACAGATCCACATGCTCCGGTTGTGGTAATATATATATAGAATTCTATTTAAATATTTATTTTTTTATACTTCTTTTCCCCCTTTTTTTAAATAAACCAACAGAAATGGACTGTATTCGGCTCCTCTTTGCTGGGTTCCCTTCGCGCTCACCCTCCAATACCTCTGCTTCTCACCTGAAACACCCTCGGGGCTGCCCCAAAAACCCCTCAAGCATCGCTGCTGTCTGGGGGGTCACCGTCCCCTGTCCCCTCTCCTTATTCTCCCTTCCCATCTCCTGTGGGATGGCTGATTGGTGTTGGTTGTTGGACTCGTGCGGAGGGGGGGGGGGGGGGGGGGGGGGGATGCTTAAATTGACACTCTCTGGCTGCCCAAAAGCACCAGGAGGCTGCGGGGACCATCACGGTGTGGGGAGCATCGTAGTGCAGGGAGCCACGCGCTGGCAATGCTGGCGGTGCCTGGGGGTACGGGGAAACGCCGAAGCCGGCTGGGAAGAGGCAGAGGGAGGTAAGTGAGTGCGTGCGGGGGGGGCGGGGGGGGGTGCAAATAAAATCACAGCCACTTCCCAGGCAGCCCTGGGAGAGGCTCAGCAAAGCTTCGCCAGGGCCAAGACCACCTAAGGCTCCACCAGTGCCCCGGTCCTCTGCGAGCGTCTCGCATGGGGCTGTATCGGTTAACAAGAGGCTGATTATACAGGAGACGTTGGAGCAGGATGATGAAATTTTCCTCCTCCTCCGGAGCCCTCGGGCCTCCGGCCAAACCTCCCAGGCATGAGACAGCAAGCGGATGAGCTAAGATCCTGTGTGATCATCTCTCGTGTCTCGGAGGAGCCCCGACCAAAAAAATCATCGCAAAAATTTATAAGTCCCCCCAAAAAACCCCTCTTTCCTTGCCCTGCCGGGTCACACTGCCTGGTTGTGTCCCCTGGTTCCTATAGGAGGTTTCACGGCATCAGTTTTCCCCCCCCAAAACGGCACCACTGCGGGCAGCCTCGTGCCACACCAGCGGTGACGGCAGGGGGAGCGGTGCCCAGCTCCAGCCCGGCCCCGGCTGCCCCTTCATGGCAGGGGATGAGCCCCAAAAAGGTGCCGGCTTCCCCGCCCCACAGTGGAGGCAGAGGCCGCGGTGGGTCTCCAGGCATGGTGTGGCTTTCTTCCATCATCCCACCCTGACTCCAGGGAAGGGACCCTGGGTGTCCCCTGTGCCACTGCCCCGGAGGGTGCCCAGGATCGCAGCCCATTTGCGGGGCCCATTTCTTGCCTGCACCGTGAGATGTCCTCAAACCAATACAACCCCCCCCCCCCCCCCAAAACACAGGAACGGGGCAGGGCACAGCAGCAGCCTCGGAGGGGAGAGCACGACCCGTGTCTGGGGACACCTGGGTGTCCCCACGACTATCGCTACCAGGCCAGCGTATGGCCAACATCTCATATGCTGGAAGTCCAGGGCTGGGCATCCAGGCTGAGCCTCTCTCCCCGCAAAAATCCATTTTTTTGTCCCCGGTCCCCGGG